GTAGTTATAAACTAGAAAAACTACAAACTATGGTTGTAAACAAACAAAAGTTACAAACTATGGTTGTAAACATACAAAAGTTAGAATCTATTAGTTATAAACTACAAAAACTTCAAAATATGGTTATAAACTACAAAAGTTACATGCTATGATTGTTAAGTTAAAAAATTCAAAATTTAAAGTATGGTTGTTATAAACTATATGCAAAAGTCACAGTCTGTATAGTTGAATACTAAAAAAATTACTAACTATGGTTGTTAACTTTAGACTGTGACTTTCGTAATTTATAACAACCATAGTTTTTTAACTTAAAAATTTAAGGACAACAAAATTTAAATTATAGTTGTTATAAACTACAAAAATCACAGTCTACTATGGTTATAAACTACAAAAGTTACAAACTATTTTTTTTGTGGTGGTTATAAACTAAAAAAATTACTATATAACTATAGATTGTAACTTTCGTAGTTATAATATCCATAGTTTGTAACTTTTGTAGTTTAGCATCATAATTTGTAATTTTTGTAGTTTATAGCAACCATAGTTTAAATATTGTAGTTATAATAATATAACTACGGTTCTAAACTACAACTTTTTTAGTATGGTTTATAGTATAGTATGGTTAAAATAAGTTACGATGCGTATATGATTGTAAGGAACTGCAAAAGTTACACAGTATGGTTGTCAGAAAATAATAACAAAATAAATTATTAAACTAATATTCAAACATTTAAATGGTTGAAACCAAGAATTAAAAACAAGTTAAAAACTGAATAAAAAATAAATAAAAAACTAAAAAATAAATAAATAATTAAAAATTGAAAAAAAAGTTTATAAAAAATTAAGAAATAATAAACTGATACTTTATAAGAAACATAATTAAAGGAATCGCTTTTTAAAAAAAAGAAAAGTCTCATTAATCGTTTTAATAAAAATTTTAAAATATGCTTCCTAATCAGACAAATGGATTACAAAATCCGACAAATTAGTTACATATACATACTAGTTTTCCTCATTGCGGTGAAAATGTATATATACCTAAACATTACACGTGGCAACTTGGAATAGAAAAATAATGAAAAAAAAAGATTTAAAAAAATTCTGTTTCTACTGAAAAATTGCGTCTCAATTTAAAAATTGCATATATATATATAGTTTTACACATACATGTGAATAATGCACATATATGTATAAGTGTGTATATATGTATATGACGCAGAGCCGAAGCGGTTGTGACTCTATGCCGCTAGGCGGCATATACCGCTTCACGAGACGTAACCGGCATTTTGCGGCTAAAACTGCAAAGGTAAACGTAACCTTGCCGGCTCTTCGGGATTCGTCGTGAGTACCACACACACACACACACACACACACAGCCACTCTTATAAAACCACACCAATATTCTCTCAACAAGAAGGAATCAAATCCATGTAGCTAAACGTGAGAGCGTGTCTGCGAGAGACCATAAGAACAGTGGAAACGGACAAAATCGCCGAGAGTGGGGGGAGGGAGAGAAGAAGGTGTTTCGCTGGCGAACGGTAGAGTAAATTCACAGACACACTGCTAGTAGTGGAGGTGGGGGGGGGGAGATACTGTTCGAGTGGGGGGCAAAAACAAGTAGGGGTATATCATTGTATATACAGGTCGAGTGGGATACCTATATAGTAGTAGTAAAGAAGCTGTAAAATGTACCTCTCTGTCCGTTAGGCGCATGCGCATTCTGTACTTTTCTTACAAGACGCCTTCTACTTCCCCTCCTACTCCTCCTGCTTCTTCTTCCCCCCCTCCGGCGCACACTTATACATATACACAGTACATGAAACAGGTACCAAAATGCACTCTCCCCATGATCTTGAATTTCTTAGGAACTTGAGATCGGCAAATATCGAGAAAAGATATCCGCCACTATAACATTGCGGAATGTCAAGTATTTCTTTTTTTGAGTTTTATTTTCATAAAAGATAGCGCTCACTGTAATAAAAGTTGGAATGCACTTTGGGATGTGTGTTAAAGCTTTTAGTGTCTCAACTTGTAAATTTATTGGGGAAATATAAATTTTTCATGGAAATTTTAATTAAAAAAAAGGGGAAAAAAAAGAAGTGGTTAGGGAAGAAGGAGTGGGGGAACGTTGATTTTTTTACATTTTTGTTACTATTTTAATATTATGTCGATGGAAGATAGCAAGGGAATAGTGCGCAAGCTTGCTCCAAGGTTACTTAAATTGCTATCTGGGAATTAATTCACGTGAAGATTTAGGGACTGTTTTCAGCGAATCTGATGATTTTTCAAAATTTTCAGTCGCCATCTTGGATCTGCCATTTTGAATTTTGTAAATCTGACCTTAAATTCATAATCAGCAACCTCAAAAACCCCCGAGTAACATAATGTTTCAAGTGAATTTGAGCAATTTTAAAAAAAAGTGTCCGCCATATTGGATCCGCCATTTTGAATTTTGTAAATTTTGAATATTCGACTTTAGATTCGTAATCAGCGAACCCAAAAATCTTCGAGTGATAAGTTTTAACAAAATACCTTTTAAAAGGTTTATCTATTTTTTGAACGGCCCCTTTTTACTATATTGCTTAGCGTTACAAATAACATTTTTTACTATTGTTTAGCGTTAAAAACAACATTTTTTTACTGTTGTTCAGCGTTACAAAGAATATTGTTATAATATTGTTCAGCATAAAAAAAATTGTTCCTCCTCTTATTTAGTCCTATATACAGACAATGGTTACCACGCAAATTTTTAGCGTTACTACCAACAATTTATATTTTTTTTAGCGTTACAAACATTAGCGTTATACAAAAACATTTTTTTTTGCTTAAAATACAATATTTCTTATACTATATTTAAGTATTAAAAATAATGGTTGTTACTTGTATTAAGCGTTATAAATAATTAGTCCCTAACATTATTGTTTAGCGTATAACTAACAATGGTTGATACTATTATTAAACGTTACTGTAAATATGGTTTTGCTACTTTTTTAGCGTTACTAGCAATGGTTGCTACTATACTTTTAAACGTTGATAGCAATGGTTACTATACTTTTTTATTGTTACTAGCAATGGTTGATATTATTTTTAAGCGTTATTAGCAATGGTTTTTATTATTATTAAGCGTTGATAGTAATAGTTTCTTCTAAATTTAAGCATTGCTATATAGCAATAAGTGCTACTATTATTAAGCGTTAATAGCAATTCTTGCTTTTAAGCATTACTATACCAATGGTTGCTATGGTTATTCAGCGTTAATAGCAATGGTTGTTTCCTAGAATTAGTTGATATTATTTTTAAGCGTTACTAACAATGGTTGCTATTATACGCTTAAGGGTTACTAGCAATGGTTGATGCTATTTTTATGCGTCAATAGCAACATTTGATGCTATTTTTAAACGTTAATAGCAATGGTAAATGCTATGTTATTAAGCGTTACTAGCAATGGTTGATATTATTATTAAACATTTGGTTGCTATTATTTTTAAGCGTTACTAGTAGTGGTTGATATTATTTTTAAACGTTACTAAGATTATTACGTAAGCGCGTTAATAGCAATGGTTATTGATGCTATTTTATTATAGCGTTACTATAGCAATGGTTGATATTATTAAGTGTTACTAGCAATGGTTGATATTACTTTTTAAAAATTACTAAGAATGGTTGCTAATATTTTTAAGCGTTAATTATCATTAAGCGTTACTAGTAATGGTTGATATTTTTAAACGTTACTAAGAATGGTTGCTACACTATTATAAGCGTTAATAGCAATAGCAATGGTTGGTATTATTTTTCAGCGTTACTAGGAAAGGTTGCTCTTATTATTAAGCGTTAATAGCTTAATGGTTGATTACTAGCAATGGTTGAATTATTTTTAAGCGTTAATTATTATTAAGCGTTACTAGCAATGGTTGCTACTGTTATTTAGCGTGAATAGCAATAGTTGCTGCTATTTTTTAGCATTACTAGCAATGGTTGCTACTATTATTAAGCGTGAATAACAATAGTTGCTGCTATTTTTAAGCGTTACTAGCAATGGTTGCTATTTTTTAGTGTTACTAACAATGGTTGATATTATTTTTTAGCGTTACTATTGGGAAATGTTGCTCTTAATATTAAGCGTTAATAGCAATGGTTGATGCTATTTCTAAGCGTTACTGTCAAAGGTTGATATTATTTTTAAGCGTTATTAGGAATGGATTCTACTATTATTAAGTGTTAATAGCAATGGTTGCTGCTATTTTCAAGCGTTACTAGCAATTGTTGCTATACTTTTTTTTCAACAATGGTTGATATTATTTTTCAGCGTTACTATAAATAGTTTTGCTATTTTTTTAGCGTTACTATATAGCAACGGTTGCTACAATTACAAAGTACTACAAATAATCCTTGCTATTTATTGCTATTTGATACTATTCCTCATTTTATTTTATTGCTAGCATAAAAAATACTAACAAACATTCCTAACATTTGCTATAAATAAAAAAAAAATTTTTTTTGACATATTTTTTTCTATAAATAAAAAATTTCTCGTCCACTGGGTCTCTGATGCGAATATTTTTGCGTTATAACATTTATAGTGGTAATACAAACTGAGTCAGATCACTGGCACTGTGTGGTTTGTAGTCGATGAGCGGACTCACCTAACTTTAGTGGAGGGGGGGGGTGCAATAGGAGGGGGCGTGTACAGATCTTTCACACACACACAAACACATCTCTCACCTCTAGCGAAGCAGGTAAAGAAAAAGGTGGGGGCGACTGACAAGTCGGGGCCCGGGGTCCTGTTCACGATACCTGGTGAACACCAGTCGCATACGAGAGGCCGAGACTCGTGTTCATCACGGCACGTCGGTCCCATTTCAATGTAACTGTAAATTAATAAATGCGAAAAAAAAGGATTTTTTCATTTTTCTTTCTCTCCCAATAAAGTGTTAATTTTTTTTCTATAAAAAAAGTACTTTTTATAATTTTTTTTAAAGTGACTTTTTTTGGAATTTTTAAGTGAACTTGTTTTCTCGAAAAAAAGTGACTTTTTTTCGGTGGGGGAAAAAAAAAGTGTTTTTGGATTAAAAAAAAAAAAAAATTCTCATGGATTGAAGAGAAGTGCGATATTTGGAAAAAAAAGTGACCTTGATTTATTGAGCGATTGTCAAAGCGAACTTGATTAGTGCTCGAGTGAGATTCTTTGTTTGGGCCTTGGGAGTTCTCGCGGGAGGAAAGGTCGCGGTGACCTTGGATACCAATGGTGACACGATCGCGGTGAAAAGTGCTGCGAGACGACTTTTTTATTGTGGGGAAAAAGCAAATTTTTTTTTTCTCCTTTTTTTAAGGGGAAAAAAAGTGGGGGTTTATTTTTCTCAAAAATTTTGGTTTTTTGAGAGAATTTCGTTTCTTTTTTTGAAACGAAATTTAGGCTGGCAGTGATAATAACAAGATGCCGAAAATATTCTTGATCAAAAATCGCCTCCACCAGCAGCAGCTCAAGCTGTTGGAGGCACAACACTCGGGGAAAAGTCCACCACACGGAGGCGGAAAGGATAGCCCCCTTGGGGGCAGCGAACCCCTCAGTCTCATCGTTAACAAACATCAATGTAAGTGGATTTTAATTATTTTTTTTGCGATATCCTATTTTTTTTTATTGATTGAAAATTAGTAGAAAAAATTTGCAAAATGAAAGAAAATTTTTGTAGTTAACTTGAGAGGGATTTAGAGTTGATTGAAAAAAATTTAGTTGATTCAAAGAAACGTTTAGTGCATTCCAAGAATCTTGTGGTCAATGTAAGGAAACTTTTAGTTAATTTAAAGAAACGTTTAGTTCATTCTAAGAATCTTATGGTTAATGTAACCAAACTTTTTGTTAATTCAAAGAAACTTTTAGTTCATTTCAAGAATCTTATAGTTAATTTAACAAAACTTTTAGTTAATTCAAAGAAACTTCCAGATAATTCAAAGAAATTTTTGGTTGATTCCAAGAAATTTAGGGTTAATTCAAAGAAACTGTTGGTTAATTCCAAGAAATTTGGGGTTAATTCAAAGAAACTTTCAGTTAATTCATAGAAACTTTTGGTTAATTCCAAGAAATTTAGGGTTAATTCAAAGAAACTGTTCGTTAATTCCAAAAAATTGGGGTTAATTCAAAGAAACTTTTAATTAATTCCAAGAAATTTAGGGTTAATTCAAAGAAACTTTTGGTTAATTCCAAGAAAATTGGGGTTAATTCAAAGAAACTTTTAAATAATTCCAAGAAATTTAGGGTTAATTCAAAGAAACTTTTGGTTACTTCCAAGAAATTTTTGGTTAATTCTATGAAACTTTTAGTTAATTCCAAGTGAATTTTAATTAGTTCTCAGAAATTTTTGGTCAATTCTATGAAATTTGTGGTTAATTCCAAAAAATTTAGTGATAATTCAAATATTTTTGGTTAATTCTAAGAAACTTTTGGTTAATTCCAAGAAAGTTTTAGTTAATTCAAAGAAACTTACGGGTAATTCAACGAATCTTTTTGGCTAATTCCAAGAATTAAATTTCGATTAATTGAAGGACTCGTTTAATTATTATAGTTCGAAGAAATTTTTGGTTAATTCTAAAAAAATTAAGGTTAATTTAAATATTTTTTGTTAATTTAAAGAAACTTTTGGTTAAATAAATGAAACTTTTAGTGAATTCAAAGAAATTTTTTATTAATTCTAAGAAACATTTGATTAATTCCAAGAAATTGATTAAAATTGATTTAATTCTAATAAATTTTGTTAAGAATTCTTAAGAATTCTAAGAAACTTTTGTTAAATCCAAGAAATTTACAATTATTACAAAAACAAAAATTTGATAATAAAATGAAATGAAATTGCTCATTAAAAAAAGTTACATAACTTACTTAATAAATAAGTAGCAGTAAAAATTGAGTAATTCAATTTATGGGAATATTATAATTATTAGTAAGTTTTACTTTGAAATTAAATTAATTAAATAAAATTCAAATTTAATTAATTATATTTAAGAATAAAATAATAAACAAAATTTATTAAAAACTTTCATTTCCTATAAAAACTAAATTTACTATAGCTACAAACTAAATTTACCGAAAATCGAATTTACTAAAAAGTAAATTGATTATAAACTTAATTTTCTAAAAAATAAATTTGTTAAAAATTAAATTTACTAAAAACTGAATTTACTAAAAAGTAAAATGATTATAAACTAAATTTACTAAAAACTAAATTTATTAAAAACTAAATTGATTGAAAACTAAATTTACCAAAAACTAAACTCGATTAAAAATTGAATTTACTAAGAACTAAATTTACTAATAAGCTAAAATTTACTTAAAAAAAATAAATCTATGAAAAATCTAATGCATCAAAGTTTTAATTTACAAAAAATCAAATTTATAAAATCCAAAAAACTAAATTTTATAATTATACTATAATTTAATTTTGAGGATAATATAAATTTCCAGGTATACTTAAAATTTTTAAAAAAACACCGAGGTTTCATAATATATACGAAACTAGAGTAGATTTTGTAGAATCCCCGATTTTTAGGGTCGGCTAATCACTTTTTTTCAAAAATTTTGTTTCCTTCTTTGGTTTTTGGTTGAGATTAGGATTGAAGAAGTTGGCGATGCGTGCAGGTGAGGGCACCTGACACGCAGGTGCCTCACCTGATCGCGCGGCTCAACTTGACTTTCAGAATACTATATGTATATACGCTTCCGTAGCTCGTTAACGAATAAAACTCGAAATAAGTGAAGATAATAATAATATAATGACCTAACGACGAAGATACCCTTGACTTAAGATTTTCTTTCTCTCTCTCGCTCTCTACATATATACACGCGAGATTCTCTCGCAAAAAACCACTCCTCTTTTTCTCTATATATATATTTTTGCACTTTTTTCCTTCCTCTTCCTCACTCATCTCACAAAGAGAAATAAATTTTTCCCACTAAAAAAAAAATAATAATTTTTTTTACATAAAAAGGGGGAAAAATACAAGTTTTTAATTTTTTTTTTGTTTCCTAAGTTTATAAATTTTACCAGGGTATTTGAAAACAAAAAAATTGTAATTTTATGTTCTAAAAATAATTTTGTTGCTTTACACTTATTTTTGAATTTTATTTTATTTTACTCGCTCTTTCTATATTTAAAAAACAAAAATATTTTACTCTAATATTTAAAAACAAGGAGTTTATTTTTGATTTTATATTTTGAAATTATTTATTTTACTCTCTTTCTATATTTAAAGAACAAATATATAATTATACTCTTATATTTAAAAGAAAATGTAAAATTTTCCTTTTTTTGTTTTGAAACAAATTTTAATAATTTTGACGCACTCTGAAGAAAGGTGAGAAGCAAAAAATTTGAGGTTATTTATCTCAATATTAATTATTGAATTTTTACTTTTTGTTACATTTGAAATAATTAATAAAAATTGATTTTAGTTTTAAATTAAATACAGAAACAATTAATCAAGGTGAAAGTGCATCACAAACATAACCTTCAAATTCTTTGCTTCTTAGGTGTCTTTCTTCAGTGCGCGTCACATTTATTATTTAACATATAATTAAAATCGTAGATGACAAAGCAAATTATAATCACTCTCTAAATTCGAATTAGTAAAAATGTTTATTAATTGGAATTAGTGACTCAATTTTTGCATTTTAATTCCGAAATTTTACTAATAAATAGTAATTTCTACTATTTTTTTTAAGCAAATTTTACTATTAATATTAAATAGTAATTTCTACTGATTTATTTAGTCAAAATTACTACTTTTTACTGTTTGCTATTTAATTAGCAAATTTTACTAATAAATAGTCATTTCTACTAATTTTTTAGTAAAATTATTAAATTCAAAAGCAAAAAGTCAGTCATTAATTCAAATTAGTAAATTTTTTCTTAGTAGAATTTTTGCTTTACAATTTGTAAATTTTACTAATAAATTAGTAGAAATTACTATTTATTTCAAAAATTAACTAATTTTGCTTTCGAATTAATAAATTTTATTAATAAATAGTAATTTCTACTAATTTATTAGTAAAATTTACAAATTCAAAAACAAGATCCGCACAATTAATATTATTAATATAAATTAAAAATTAATATCATCTGAAATTATAAAATAAAAATAAAGTATAGCGAAGTTTTAAAATAAAAATTAACAATATATGTAAGGGAAATAAAAATAGAAGAATAGAGGAGAAATAAAATAAATTTTGCAAAATGAAAAAATAAAATTATAAACTCAAACAACACACGGGTTGAATGTTTCAATAGTTACATAATTTTATAAAGAAACGACTTGGCAAAAAAAAAGGAAGAAAATTACTCGTCCATCGATGTAAAATAATTAATTCAATGACTTTTAAACGCGCGAGCGCGCTGTGTGTGAACCGGTTGCAAAAAGTTGTATATAAAATAAAAACCGTTTTCTTACTTTACATGAAAAAAAAAAATTCTAGTCGACAATTTTCTGCTTTTTTCTGTACATTTTAATTGTGTGTAATAATTTCAAAAATGTCTTCATTAGGGCTCTCGATACTTAAAAAGAAGAAATATCGCTTAATTTTTTTTTTGTTTATTCATTATTATTAAAAAAAACACAGAAAATTTATTTTGAGAACTGAGAAACTTTTCATTTTTTCTTATTTTTGATTTTCAATTTTTATAATTTGTTATTTATTAAAAATTCATTTATTTATTATTATAAATTTATTAAAAATGTATTTATTTATTATTATAAATTTATAATATAAAAATAATTCATCTTTATTATAGAATTGATTATTAATTTAATCAAAGATGTTAAATTGATTGATTATTAATTATTGGAATTTTTAAAAATAATGCGGTATTTACAATTAATTACAATATGGTAGTTTTAATTGTTAATGATTTTTATAAAAAATGATTGTTACAAACACAATTCAAATTTTTTTAAAAAAATTGTACTTTTCATAAATTACAATATGGTAGTTTCAATTGTTAATAATTTTTATAGAAAATGATTGTTACAAACAGTGGTATAGTAATAATTACTATACGATAGTTTGAATCAATGATATAATTACAAATATGAATGAAAATAAATAAAAAAAAAATAAAATATGGTATTAGCACAGTTATTACTTGATTCATAAATGAAGAATTTTTCCTTTGCAAAATGAAAAAAAAATGACGAAACAGATTTAATAAATTATAATATTTGAAGAAATCCCGTTCCGCGTTCCAGGAATTAATATGCGCGCGCGGTTTACACATCTCGCGCTCGACGCTATATAAATATGCGCGGCGTTTGACCTTTAAAAACCTTGTCTGCAATGATGCATGCGTGATTATTGAAAAATTCATTTCAGAAAATTATTTTCAATAGAGAAAAAAATTTAGGAACAAAAAAAATTTTTTTTAAATAATGTGACTATAAATGTCAATACTCGTATAACTATAATAAATTAATTTTGCAATTTTAGTTATTACAAAGAAAGGTTTTTAATTAATTTTCCCATCCTTTCTTTTTTATTATTTTTTATTTTAAATACTGTACGATTTATTTTTTATTATTTTTTATATTAATTTTAATTTTATAATAT